AAACTTTTAGGTTTTACCTATTTTATTTCTTTGGAATAAATTGTATATTTCCTGGACCACAAGCATGTAAGTAACCTCTGTTCGTCAGAACCTGAATGTTAAAATTATTAATTTCACTCGAGCCTCACTTTTCTCTTTCCTATTCAATCAATGTTCTGGGGTCCAAATCATCGTGATTCTGTCTTATAAAACCCAACCAATTTGCTTATTCAAAACCCTACTTCACCTGGTTTCATCCCAAGTGAGTGTGTATAGCAAATACAAACATTATTATACGTTCAGTCAACATGTGCAAAATTTTAGGTTTTCAGACCAACTGGGTCTAGTGTTGATTTTTCCGCAAGTTTTACCCTCCTTTATACTAGCATAGATAAGAGTATGAAGAAGCAGGTAATCGTTAAGTTGGTGAGAAAATGCACTGCTTTTGCAGACCCCAAGGATTTGTTACCGTACTTACAAATGCCTGCCTTTGGATTCAGTGCCGTGCTTGAGGTGGGAAAGCGAGAGTGACATAACCTTATTCAGTGAGTCAGAAAATAATTTCAGAACCACTTAGTTTCTATAGAAATATTGTAAGAAGTATGTGCGGAACTAGGATATATTTGAGGACAATAATTACCAATTTTTTCTCATAGGAGAAGCAATGAATCAATTTCATTTCCAGCTTGCAGACATAACGAATATGGGTCATACCTGTGAGTAAAAAATTTTAAGAGAAACATTTAAACCCGAACGACATGAAATAACGAGGATGGAGTAGCTGAAAAACCTGAAGGGAAGACACCACCTGGACCATATAGGCATATATCTTGAGGGAATGATGCGTAGGTTGTAGAATGGATTCATCTGTCAAGATAGATTCAGCGAAGGCCTCTTTTGAATACGGTAATGAACGTTCGGATTCCAGAAAAGGTGGGAAATATCGTTGTCTGCTGAGCGACTACTGCTTTATCCGGAGTTTTCTGCTCCGTGCTGCTTATTGTTATATTTAGGATTTAGCCGAGGAATTGAAATGGTTTGTTCATTGTTTGTAGAAAAGGATCCATTCCTGATTTGCCAGTGTTGTAGAGAAGACGCCTTTATTATGAGCCATAGAGATATCCCTGACGTAGCCTCCTGTCGATATCTGACGAAACTACGTTCGTGTTGTCCGTGGCTTGGCAGAAAAATATTATTTATTATGGTCAATTGGACACAATTTCTATTCAATAGGTCACAAATAATTTCCTGTGTTGCAACAGCCACTTTTGACATTATTCGACACAAATTATTTCTCAGGATATGCCATAGCCACTACGGCTTACATTACACAGGATCTGGGGATATATTATTGGTTTGACGTACAGAAGTGAAGAAAGATTACTCATTGTTACCTGTTCTAGCTGTGAGGTGTGGTTCATTGGCCTCAGTCGCAGATTGTTTCCTGATGAATTTGAGTTCAGATTGTAGGATTTCAGGTTTTCAACGCGTTGAGTTCGAATGTGTATATCTTCTGGGTTGATGCGCCGTGTAATCTGGTGGAAGCTTACCGACGTTTCAGAGATCCTTGCTGCATCGTTCATCATAGCGATGAACTTCTACCAGACTACAGGGCGCAACAATTTAGAAGACAACCATCTTCAATCATCAGATATATTGGACATTATAGCAGAAACCGTGTTTGACTAATTGAACATGTGTTTCCGTTGCAGCGTTATTGAAACTTCTTGGTATAATTAGAAAGGGAAGACACAAATAGGCAGACTAAAGTACAAATGAGACGATAATATTAAAGTGAAACTTATATAAATACGGTTTGAAGGTTTGGAATGGATTGAACTGCCTGTCGACAGAGGTTATGTGAACACATTTAAAGTTCTTGGTTCCATAAAATGTTACTAATAAGTTAACCTATTGAAGGACTGGCAGATTCCCAAGAGGTCTTTTGAGACAATGAAGTATTGAAATATTTACAGTTTATTTTCAAACAGACCCAAATGTTAAATTAAATTCATGTTTAAGATTGAAATTTCTTACCCATAAAATGTGAAATTTCTATATATGTATTTGACTGGACATGAACTCAGGTGTAATGTAGTTATGTGAATATATTCTAGTCCACATTCAGTTGTCTGAAGGAACCGTCCAGGCCGAACAGGTCCTCCTGCGTCTTCGGTCTGCCCCCGACTCGCTTCTTCTCGTCCGATCGGTACATCTCGCCCTCCATGAGCCATCCACGTCGTGCCTCAACTTTCTTCTTCCATTCTTCTGTAAGAGAGATGTGATTTCAGGTTCTCACGGCGGCGAATATAAAGATATCTATCTTCTGGGATATTGTCCCGTGTAGTCCGGTAGAATTGCACAAGAATTTTTGAAGTTCGTATTGCCATCATCATGAGGATAATGATGGAGGCAGCAGAATCTCTGAAACAATGGTAGACTTCTACCAGACCTCACGGAGAAATATCCCAGAGCAGCCATCTCGAAATCAAGGAGTTACTTCACACACACCCACACCCTGAAGGAAGCTGTTTATTTTATTGACAGATTAGGGATTGGAGACTAAAGAAATATCGGAGTTACCTGTAAGCGCGGCCAGTGATCCTGCCTCTCCTCCATATTCTTGGGGTAGAAGCCTTTGTGGGACGTTTTTGTACAAAGAGTCCATGTCGGAGTGAACGAACATCTGCAGAAAGGACATTAATATGAGACATATTCGCGATTCTAGCAGCAAATGCATTTCCACCTTCTGTCTGATATCAACCAACAACCTTGATTTTCCCTTTAATTATCTTAAGTCTTGCGCCATACTCGTAAAAAGAAGGAGATTCAAGAATCAAGGGCAGTATTTTAAACACATTGTTGCATTAGCAACAGCGCTCACTCAAAGAATGTTGGAAACTGCAAGGGCAACTGCTGTGGAAATCACTGAGATACTGAGTGTGGATGTTGGTCGGCCTTGGCACAAACCTCTGGAAACGATCTTTACCCCACACTCACTAGGCAAAAACGTTCAACTGAAACACACTCACAACATTCCATTGTCTCACCTTTACCTACAGTATGAACGGACCTCAGCATAGGTGCATGTCATAGAAAGAAAATGTTTCAATATTACACCCACTTTTTGGATTACTCTCGTAATTCTAGACTTGCAGAAGTTGTGTATATTTTTCTCGAAGTCTAGGGCTTTAAAGTTTTCCTTGTTTTAGTTCTATAGTAGCCACCAGGAGGCATTGGAAAGGAGGCAAGAGGGTCTTCATATTTATATTCTGAATGATTAACCGGTCTTTATATAATATATAATTTACAAGTTCGATGTTTAAATGGAAAGTGTCACATTGAGATCAACGTACCATTTTAGTAAATAAATATGATTTAACCGATTAGTAAACAGCTGAAAGAAGATCATGTTTGTCCACAGCTTCCATCCTATAAAAGTTCAAGTTATTAGGGCAGACTGGTGGTGTTTATTGGTTTCGCTTATGAATTTCGTGCAGACGTTTTGTTTATACGCTAAAGTTTTTCTTTAAACATGATAACCACGGGGAACATCGAGACATATCGAGGGCAAAATTATGCTCGCGAACTGCACGTGGGATGTGCCGGTTTTACAATAAAAATGTGCTCTCCTCTTCCTGCATTTGACATACTTCTGAGTTGTTCTGGCGTGATTTTAAGAGCATATGTAACAACATAATTATAGAGTATCGCTAATATCGACTTACCCTGCTTTTCATCTTCTCGTTCATGAATAACTTAATCATGTTGAACACAGTGATGAACGCTGGGCTCATATTGATATGGTTCATGCTTTTAGGACGAATTGAGTTACCATCCTAGAACAGTGAATATTAGTTTGAGAAAGTTTAACGTCGTAAGACAGAATCGTTGTTTATAGTGTAATCCCGTCATTGTTCCGTAGTATAAACCAAATGAATCCATTCTATGCACTCACCATCTATTTTTAATTCATGTTTTCACATTTCCCCAATGTCTTTGCTTAGGACTTACGAATAATCTTCGACTTCAAAGAGTTTAAAGCAAAATCAGTATTTCTCTGAGGGAGAGCAAGTTGTTTGGGAAAACTTTACCTGAAACTGGGTGACGCCTTTCTTTGCTAGTGAGGGGGTGAATTGTGCCATTAGAGCCAAAGTCATTTTTGAATGATCAATCACAAACACTGTGCCGCAGATAGTAACTCGATCGTCCTCTTCAACCAATATATCT